GCCCTATAGTAAGTGTTTTCATAAATTCCTTAATGTTACCCTTCTTTGCATGGAGTTGTTTGGCAAATTCATTTCTGAGGTGGAGTTTGAGGTTCGAAATTACTCCTTAATCCATGGATTGTACCAAGAAAATTGTATTCGGTGGCAAGAATGTACCAACCATATTGCCCTTAACTAATTCATCTTAATGTGGATGTGTTGGTCTGTTATAAACAAATAGCACTGCTTTGTTGTTCTCTGGTAAACCAATACTATTAAAATTAATTTTCACCCCGGGTATGAAATGACTTAAAAACTTCATAAAAAATTACTCATGACATCCAACCTATGCTGAGCCTTATAAATCACAGAAATAGTATTCTTGACCCAAGTACCTTTGGATTTAGACTTTATGCAATCGAACAAAGTTAACCTGTGCCCGCCAGCTACATTTGAACAGCAAAGTACAGAGAACCACTCTTTGTTTCTTGTCATTTCACCCCAATGAGTCAAACTATCCAACATTGGCCAGTATAAGCTTGTTTCATCAGCATTACAGGGACTATGTAGTACAGTCGGGTTCGTTCTCGACACAATATGTAGAGGTCGCACCATGGCATCTTGGTGGCTGGCAGCAAAATGACCTAGGCCTTTTATGGGTGGATTATGGTAAAGAAGCTGGTGAGGTGGCTTGTTGAACACACATGCTGAGCTGGAATAATTGGACGCTTGAAAGTCAAACTGTGTTGGGCAGTAGGCCCAACACAGTTTGTGTATGATGGGGATTATCTTTCCTTTAATCCGTAATGTGCAGTTGTTTTTAACCCTTTACAGTGGCTCTGGAGTCGTACCCGTACAAAAAGTCATACCCGTCCATGCAAAAAAAATACTTAATTATTAATTTGTATGCATAATGTAAGAAGAACAGGAAAATAAATGAATATTTATTAATTCACTGGGTGGAGGTGCTTTGCAAGGCTGGGTCTGGCACTTTTCAACGCCTGGTGCTCGTCTTTCCCTGTTTTATCCTCCAATGTTTCACTGATTGTTTTATCACTTGTTTTTCTTTATTTACATTCATAGAGCTCTTATATCCATATTTGCATCATACATGAAAACCCAGACAATTGTTTGAATCATCATATGATTCTGTAACATTTACGACTACCAGCATTTGTACCATGAAATGGCTGTATAGGGGTTAAAAGTGCCACTCTAAAATTCTTTTTTTTGTGTGTAATTACACATAGGTAATTACAATGTGTGTGTAAAATGATACCTCTTCATACAAAAATTAAGGAATATTAATAAAAATAATCTCTGGTTTCCTGCATAATGGAAGAGAGTCTGGTGGGAATGTCATTTGCCAACTCATATAGGGGTGAGGGGTCTGAAGTTGAAGTCCTTCTATTAAGGCAGCATCTGGGACCCTCTTGTACGTAGGTTCTAACCCTCTTCACGGCCCTTGTGGATTTGTTCATTTGAATTTAGATTGTTTTTATGCCAACTGTTTCACTTAAGTCTACACAGTTTGTGGAATACTGTAACTTGATTCATGTACAGTACTGATAATTGACAAAAACAGAGAGTACTGTATTTAGGCCTACAGTGTTTCATGTACTGTATACATAGGGGCCTCGTAGCCTGGTGGATAGCGCACAGGACTCGTAATTCTGTGGCGCGGGTTCGATTCCCGCATGAGGCAGAAACAAATGGGCAAAGTTTCTTTCACCCTGAATGCCCCTGTTACCTAGCAGTAAATAGGTACCTGGGAGTTAGTCAGCTGTCACGGGCTGCTTCCTGGGGTTGGAGGCCTGGTCGAGGACCGGGCCGCGGGGACACTAAAAAGCCCCGAAATCATCTCAAGATAACCTCAAGATAGTATACTGTATTACATGTAAATCTGTTCCTGGCACAGCTCAAAGGAAGTGTCTTGCAACCCAATCCTTTTATGCATTTCTCTGGGACTGTCGTTTAGATTCAATGCCATAGGTTCAAATTTATGTGAAAAACCTAATTGTGATTTGATTATGATCATAGGCCAATGGTACACGTTAACCTCATTGCACAGTAAGCTATGAAAAAGTAATGCAGAATGTGTTCATGTGTTCAGTCTGTACACATTTCTAACAATTATTGTATTGAATAAATACAGTGGAACCTCGAGTGATGAATGCCTCAATTTACGAGCATTTTGAATAACGAGCACGCCAATCGCAGACAATTTGTCTCGATTGGTGAGCGCTCGTTTCATTAACGAGAAAACCACATGGTGTGTGTTCCTGCTGCTTCTCGCGCATTCTCGGACGTCTCCGATTATGCAAATAAATTTTTTTTTTAAAGATGCTGGGATGTAAAGGGGTGACTGCTGTGATATTGCAAGGCATTGACTTTTTTTTTTTGTAGAATAAAAACACGAACAAAATTTAAAAAAAGGACAAATGTCAAAAAGGTTTGTTCGGTGTTTGTCAGGTAGGATGCTCCATTATGACAATCTTTCTTTGTTTCAAATGTGTTCAATTTGTTTTGTATTTTTCATTTATTTATTAATAATGGAGCAGCCTACCTGACAAACACTGAACGAACCTTTATGACATGTTCGTTTGTCAAATTTGTTCAATTTTTTTTTTTTCATTTTTATAGCAAAAGGTTCGTTCAGTGATTGCCAGGTAGGCTGCTCCATTATTTAAGAAATCAAATATCATATTGATGTTTTTCAGTGGTGGAACAAATTATTTTTATTTCCAATATTTTAAATGGGGAAACTCATTTTTAGAAACAAGCATTTCACATGAAGATCACGGCGCCGAAATGGATTAAATTCGTTATTCGAGGTACCACTGTATATTATTATACTGTACTGTATATACAAGATACACTTGTCTTACAAGTCAAGCCTGGCCCGGTAATAGTAGAACTCCCAGAACTAATCCAGGTACACTAATTTGTATGTTATTAATGCACTTTTAATGTATTAGTGTATTGTAAATACAGAACAGTACTGTATAGGTGGCCACTGCATGTCATTTATTAACCTGGCAGGAAGACTTTAATTCTGATTTCTGTCTTAAATGAGTAAGCCAAACTTGGTCGCAATTGTTGATGAGTTACCCTGATACCAGAGTTTCTGAGGTCTGAATCAGTAAGGGATCAGTACAGTATTCATTATAATCATGTGTGCACAATTAAATCACATTAAAAAATCAGTAGGAGTCATGAGGATTTGAACCTACACACTTGGTACTCCCAAGCACTCTCCCTAGGCTACTACACCACGATATGGTAAAAAACAATGAAACCTGGGATTCAACTGAATCCTTTAGGGGGTCCTGAAGCTTCGAATATTTCAAAGTTTCGTGTATTTTCACATGCACTCTAGCTGTGGTCCAGAAGTTCTACCTCCAGCACTTCTCTTCAAATGCACAATAAAATCACGTTACCGTGATATTAATGAAAAATCAGTAGGACCCATTGTGCATTTGATTAGAAGTGCTGGAGGTAGAACTTCTGGACCACAGCTAGAGTGCATGAGGGCAATGTGTTAAACCCTGATTAGGCCTTAGTAGAAGCTTCAGGACCCCCTAGAGGAAGGATTCGGTTGAATCCCAGATTACATTGCTTTTGACCATGTCATAGTTTTTATACATTTTGACCATTTTTAATTTATATCTATCGATATAGCTTGTACCATAAGCTATATGATTGCCATCACAATTTGGTTATCCTGCCAGACTTTGAATGGCATTACCAGACACAATAGCAACAAAGGGTGGTTACAAGATTCATCGTTTTGAGTTGTGCCAGAAGCAGATTTACAAGAAATATAGGTGTATACACATTACATGTGTGTGGGCAGTGAAATTACTCATTTCATCAAGTAATACAGTACAGTACTCGATCACTGATTTTGTGTATTATGTATAAATAAATGGATATTCCCCCACATTGTGTTAACTAGATTGGAACAACAAACATATAAATCATCTTAGCGCTCTGCTTTGCATGGTGAGTCAGCTATATTATCATAAGAGTTCACAGACTAAATGACCTCCATCTCCCCCTCACCTAGCAGCTTCCTCATCTCCAAGAAACATTAAAATAAGTAAAGGCCGGACATACATACATACAGACATATATATATATATATGCATACTGTGTATATATATATATATGCATACTGTGTATATATATATATATATATACACAAAGATTAATCCAGTGTAATTGGCCTGTTATGTTGGACATTGTCTTCTGTGTTGGCATCAGAAAGACAATGTCCAACATAACAGGCCAATATATATATATATATATATATATATATATATATATATATATATATATAATAAATATTATTTTTCTTAAGTTGTTGTTAAAATACTGATAAATTATACCATACAGTCCTACAAAATGGGTTAATTCTGATCCCAGTACATTAGAAACTGATGCACTACTGTACTATTATTAGTACTGTACAGTATATATAACTCATATTGTTAAAAGTACACTTTATTGTAATATCCCCACATTGTAATATCAAGCAGCTCATGTTACCATTTTTTTTATGATTATGAAAACTGAAAACTGTATTTCATATGATTTGGTGAATTGATGAAATTTCTTCTGCTAACATAACCAGTTATGCATAATAGCTACAGTGCTGTAAAATAAATGCACAACTAACCCACACATTAGAATATTAAATTTTGATAATATTTGTGTCATGGCTTACAGAAATATAATCCAGTTTTAATATAAATGTGAGTTATGCATTATTTCAATTCAGGTATTTGCATTACTGAATTTGTGAAAATCAAGTAGGAACACATTGAGCAGTACCATATAATAAGAGCAAGTCTTTAATGTAACTGGAACAAATAAACACAAAACTAAAAATGGAGAAAATTTACAATGTTTTGGTCTTTCTAATTTATACTTATTATGTTCTTGGCAGATTTGTATAATTTTCCACATGACTCAAGATACAGTACTAATATATTTTCCCTCCCCTCCCTTCTACTCAGGGACATAACCATGGAGGAGACAAACGGAGGTGGTATGCAGGTGGACTCTCCCCCTAAGGTGGGAGGGACAATTGAGCCTCCACCAAGAGAAGAACTCGTTATTGACCCCATTAATGGCATTGTGCAACCTCCATTCACCCCGCCTCCACATAGACCTGGGCGTATCACAAACCAGCTACAATATATTCAGAAACAAGTGATGAAAACAGTTTGGAAACACCAGTTTGCCTGGCCATTTCATCAGCCAGTTGATGCTATGAAGCTCAATTTACCAGACTACCACAAAATTATTAAGCATCCTATGGACTTAGGCACTATAAAGAAACGACTTGAAAATAAATATTATTGGAGTGCCAAAGAGTGTATACAGGACTTCAACACTATGTTTACTAATTGCTATGTGTATAATAAGCCTGGTGAAGATGTAGTGTTAATGGCACAGACGCTAGAAAAAATATTTTTAACGAAAGTGGCTGCTATGCCAAAGGATGAAGTAGAGGTGGAAGATGCCACAAGCAAAGGTGGTAAAGGCCGCAAAGGTCGGACCCCAGTAGTGCCAGGAACTAAGCCACCCAGGCCTCCTGTTACTCCCTCTGCCCCATCTGTTACTGCTCCAAACTCAGCTCCAGCAGTTACAGCATCCCCTGCCATGAGTGCTGTTACTATTGGGGGCATGACTAGCACTAGCTCGCCAGCCCTTTCGAATTCCTTATCCTCGCCACCAACGGCCACTACCATGGGGTCGTCTCAACTGCCATTGCCCATGAGAGTAACCACTCCACCAACTACAACTACAGTGCTGGGCTCTACTGCTCAGCCCACCGTCCCAGCGCCTACGTCTACTAATTCCTTTCCACCGGTAAGTACTGCACTGGACTTCATTTTGCTGGCCACATTTGATATCTAGCTGCTAGATATCAAAATGCCATAGTTTAAATTTGTGCTTTACTTTTTTATACATTTATACATATAATGCACACTTTTTTTCATGTGTGTGTGGAAATTTTATGGGCTATATCAGTTGATCTGTGGCAACTTGTTTTATTCTATTAATATTTATACAGCAGCAGTAACATGTCAGCTGTATTTTCTCCTGTTACATTATCATTTTAAAAGTAATGTTCAAGGAGACCAAGGCCCACATACAATGGGGTGAAGGTAGTTGAAAAGGATAAAATCTGAGAGTAAGTGCAATGGAAAGCCTTTACCTGGAGGCACACATCAGCATCATATACAGAGCATTTGGGAATCTGTATAAGGAGACATTCAGAGCACTGTACAATACAGTGCTCTAAATGTCTCCTACCTCGACAACTGGCTGGCTTGGGCTCTCGCCCATGTTCGGTTTCCTGGTGTACTAGCAGTTTTCCCAGTTGATTCTGTCCTGGGTTTAGATCTTGCTTGGCCTAGTCTGGGACTCTATCTGGATTTCTTTTTCCTTGCTGCAGTGGCCTTGCTATGTTGGTGTTAGTGTGTCCCAGGTTCCTAAGTGGTTGCACGAAAGTCTGTGCAGGAGCCTGAACTTTGCCTGTGTGGTTAACCCCCCTGGGCAGGGTGTGGATGGACCATGGACTACTCCGTTGATTATTACTCACTTCCGAAGTACTGAGTGTGTAATACAGTGCGTTACTGTGTAAATAGTGTGTGAAACTGTACATATTGTAATTTTAGTGAATTTTTAATAAGTAATATTGCGACAATAAACATTTATTTTGGACACATTACTGACACATGTATCACAGTTCCATGGAACATTATGAACATTCTACTGTATACATATTGTAAAGGACACAAATATGCATCATATACAATAAAAAACAAATAAAACCTCATTGGAAATACATAAAACAAATAATTGAAAATATATTTGTGGCAACACCCGGTGCTTAAATGGCCCGGGCGACCGTGTCTGGGCATTTCACGCACTGGCGACCAGCCCCTGATGACGTCACAGCGCACCTTGTCCACGTTCCCACAGCCCAAGTAAGTGGAATTTGGTATTTATTTTTAAATAAATTCCAAAGTCCCTTTGGTGGATCTACTGGGTGTTCCCAGTCCCAAAGTGTGACTTGATGGATCTAAGATACATCCTCAATCTCTCAGAGCTGAGCAACTTCAATTCCTGTCTGTCCTTCCTCATGACCATCTTCGTCCAGATTTGCGTACTATTACAGGCTGGAGCTTTGATTGTGCTCAGCTCAACCCAGGAGTTTAACTCCTGGGCCTGACTCATGGAATTCAATATTCGTAAAGAAATGTAAAGTACCAGTAGCGCGAGCGCTCAGCATAATACGGAGAAAGAGCCTGGATACAGGGGAAGATACCAGCTGCACTTAAATCTGCAGATATAGCTCCTCTGCACAAGGGGTGTAGTAAAACCTTGGCAAAAAATTATAGACCAGTTGCACTAACATTACACATAATTAAAGTTTTTGAAAGAGTGATTAGGAATCAAATTTCTAGTTTTATTGAAAATAATGAGCTACACAACCCAGGACAACATGGATTTAGAGCAGGCAGATCCTGTCTGTCACAGTTACTCAACCACTATGACAAAATCACAGAAGCTCTAGAAGAAAAGCAAAATGCAGATGTTGTATATACAGACTTTGCAAAGGGATTCGACAAATGTGACCATGGAGTGATAGCACGCAAAATGAGGTCAATGGGAATAACTGGTAAAGTAGGACATTGGATACTTAATTTCCTGTCGAACAGAACGCAAAGAATAACGGTCAATTAAAATGCAGTTAAAAGCTCTGTACCTTAAGGTACAGTCCTTGCACCACTGCTGTTCCTTATTCTGATATCAGGTATAGACAAAAATACAAGTCACAGCTTCATGTCATCCTTTGCAGGTAACACAAAAATCAGCATGAAAATTACCTCTGCTGAAGACATTGAAAACTACCAGCAGATATCAACAAAGTTTTCGATTGGACAGCAGAAAATAACATGATGCTTAATTAATTTAAGTGATAAATTCCAGGTACTTAGATACAACAAAAATGAGGATCTGAAACAATACAGGGTACAAAACACAATTGAATCTGCCCACAGTATGAAAACAGCATGTCAAGGATTTGGGAATGATGATGTCTGACAATCTAACGTTTAGGGAGCATAACAAAGCAAATATTGTGTCAGCCAAAAAAATGATAGGATGAATTACGAGAACTTTCAAATCCAGGGATCCCATCACAATGGTTGTACTCATAAAGTTACTTGTGTTGTCCTGTCTCGAGTACTGCTCGGTACTCACTTTCCCCCTTCAGAGCAGGAGAGATTGCTGAAATAAGAAGGAATACAAAGAACATATATGGCACGCATAGATGCGATAAAGCACCTAAATTATTGGGCTCGTCTCAGAGCTCTCCAAATGTACTCACTAGAAAGGAGACGAGGGAGATGCCAAATAATATACACATGGAAAATACTGGAGGGACAGGTCCCAAATGTACAGGCATACCTCAGTTTAAGAGTTTAATTGGTTCCTGGAGATGCCTCGTATTCCGAAAACTCGCATTCCGAAGCTAATTTCCCCATAAGAAATAAAGGGAAATGAATTAATCCGTTCCTGACTACCCCAAAAACCCCTCATCAAACTAAATTTTTATACCTAATTCATCTAAATAAACCTACAAAACTATGTTCAAGTTATTACTTACCTTGCTGTTGAATGCTGTAGGCGTATGGAAGATGGTGAGGTGGGAGGAAGAGAGAAGTTACTGTTTGGAAGGGGAGTCCCCTTCCATTATCACATCAGGCAGTGAGGACTTCACTGGTATGCACACTCTGGCACATTTTGCCTGCATACCACTAGGACTTGCTTGTTTTACTAAGAATTTGTCTAATGACACTTGTTTTTCCCTACATTTTAACACTTGTCTGTAGTAAGACATCACATTATCATTTAAAAGGTCAATGCAACGGCCTGCTACAGCTTTATCTGGGTGAGTTTTTTCAACAAAACTTTGCAGTTCTTCCCATACTTCACACATTTTCTTAATCAAGAAGGGACATCCTCTACTGCCTCTACTCACAGCTATTTTCTTAGGTTGAACCTTACCAATGGCTTTCTTGAGACCCATGGCAAGATATATAATGACAACTTTTATGCTCAAATGGCCAAAAAACCGATAAAAAAACTGTAAATCCTTGTGAAGAATTCATGTGGGATAGTCACTGGACACGAGACACTGGTAAACTGAGGCGCGATCGCCATGCCACCACGCGCCAGTCGGCCTGTACACGTATCAACAAACTCGCGTCCCGAGGTAACCCTCGCCTTCCGAGACATATTTTTGGAGTAAATCCTGCTCGTCTTCCGAAAAACTCGCATACAGGGACACTCGCATTCCGAGGTACCACTGTACACAGTAAAATAACAACGTACTGGAGTGAATGACATGGAAAAAAATGCAGAATAAAACTAATGAATAGCAGGGGTGCCATAGGCACAATCAGAGAACACTATAAACATCAGAGGTCCGCAATTGTTCAACGTCCTCCCAGCGACTATAAGAAATATTGTATTGCTGGAACAACCGTGGACATCTTCATGAGAAAACTAGATTTTCTAAAAAAAAGTGCCGGGCCAACCGGGCTGTGGTGGGTATGTGGGCCTGCGGGCCACTCCAAGCAACAGCCTGGTGGGCCAAACTCGCACAAGTCAAGCCTGGCCTCAGGCCGGACTTGAGGAGAAGAAGAACTCTCAGAACCCCCATCAAGCAGGTGTCCTTGGATCTCAAGGAGGCCTATTGGCAGGCTCCTATTCATCCGGAGTTCAAGTACTGGTAAGGCTTTGTTGGGGGCATCAGTTCCCAACTGGGCTCCCTGCATGTGTACCAGGCTAGTGTGGGGTCACTGGCCTGGGTTTGTGTGTTTGGCCTACCTTGACGACTGGGTAGTGTGGGGCCCCTCGGTCAGTTTGCGTGTCAGCTGGCCAGGGATCTGATTCTCGGCTTGTTGGGTTCAGATTCCTTGTAAACTGGAGGAAGTCATAGTGGGTTCTATCTCAGATTTGTGTTTTGGCTGTATTTGGCATTCATGGTCAGCATTTCCAAGCCTCCGGCCAGAGGCTGGGAAAGAGATGCTGACCATGTCTGGCTAGTCTGGTTAGCGATGCTGACCAAGCTAATTTTCCAACTTCATCCCCATCTGGTGATGGATCAGTCCCAGATGACTTGTCAGTTGGTCCAGCAGTTGTGTTGAAGCCTTAACTTGGCTTACATTGTCTCTCCTCTGGGCAGGGTTTGGCTTCTCTGGTTCTGCTCTTTATGTTGCTCCCGGGGACTGGTGGGTTTGTGCCTAGTCTGCCCTTTGCTGTCTCTTGCTTTGCCAGCTTCCACTTTGGGCTTTTTGGGGTTTGATTCCGTAGCGTCATCCTTCCCCGTCGCTTGAGGTGTTCAGAGACGCTTCGTCGCTTGTTGGGGCTTCATGACCACCACTTACCAGGATACACACGGAGGTGGTGGGCGTTCAATCAGGACACTGCTTGGTGTGGGAGTTTGTGGCAGTTTGGCAGGCCTTTAGGAGGGTTCAGTTTCCTCTAGGCTTGGTGCTTCAGCTTCACTCTTGACTGTTTGCCCGGTGTAAGTTCACTAAGAACTAAGTTCAGTACCTGAACTTAGTCACTTTGGTGACGTCCTTTCCCCTGTGGAGCTGGACTCTATGGGTAACTCTGCTTTTGGCTTGTCCTTCTCAGGGTCTACTTCTCTACAGTTTAAGTGTGGGATGCATTGAATGTTCTTGTGGATGGGTTATCTTGTTACTGTTCTATTTCCATGGAGTGGACCATCAATGATGTGTCCTGCTAGCTTTACAAGACATTCGGTTGCCCTGAGGTGATCTCTTAGC